AGATGATGGTTCTGCTTTCACTCAGGCTGACAAAGGGCCGGTGACTGCAGAAAATACCATCCTGCTGAGGCTGTCAAGGCGTTTTCCTGCCTGTTCCTTGCTGCCTTGGGTGGGAAGGTGGCACAGAGCGGGGCTACTGGTGCTATAAGCCTTGGCAGGTTGACAACACCACTGTCAGCCCCATGGAGCACTTTCTGGTTGTCCATGTCATCGTCTCGCTCCATCTCCCAGCTGCGGTCCCACGTGCCACCGTCCGGCCCAATGGCTGTGGGACACACCGTGCACTACCCTGGGCAGCGTGCATGCGAGCAGATGTGAGAATGGAACACCCCAAACCCCAGGCTCATCCATACACCAGAGTTTCCCCCCAGCATTCAGGTTGATGTCCTGTAAGATCCCTGCTCCTGTATTCCCCACCCTTCCACATCCCAAAAAAGCATCTGTGGGGATATTTTTTTGTGCTTTCCCACTGAGCATCTGAGATGGTCGAGGCAAGCTCAGCTGCCAGGTCCTGTATCTGATGTTTGGAGCTGTTCCCTCTCTTCCAGCCCCACTCAAAACATGCCATGAGGTTAATTAACCCAGTTGGCTTCTCTCGGGTGACATGGTCAGGGGCCGAGGCTGCTCCAGACGGACTCGTTACACCCAGGGGCAGCAATTTCTCTCCAATAGAAAGGTACATAGAGAGATTCTCCAAATCTCTGCAGGAATGGACTTGGAAAATGCATATTGGGTTATAAAGAACATTCCCAGAGTATGATTTCCTCCATCTCATATCTTGAGCAAAAGGAAAGTAGCACACATAAGCTCTACAAACTGAATGTTCCCCCTTTTCAGTGATTCCAGAACTGGTAGTGCAAAGGAAAGAACCTAGACACACGAGATTCTTGTGCTACAGATTTATAATAACATTTTATTAATATATTATGCTACAAAAATATTTTGACAAAATAATATTAGAAAGCATCTTTTTATTACACTCTTCAAAACAGTTCACGAACACAGGAGGCGGAACAGGAAAAAATATTTGAAATACATTTGAATTGAAAACTGACAAACATGCAAGTTAAAATTCAGTGTGAGCGCAAATCTGCAGGACGGTCTGTCATCATTCCTGTAGAAGAGCAGTATTGCCTACTTATGGAAAAGGCCTCCCTGCTTTTAGCTAGATTAAGGTGCCTCCTGCAAAGCTATTCACAGGAGAGGTTGCATTTGGGTTGGGACGAAAGACACGCAGATTACATGTATGTGTGCACACATATGTGCACACACCCACACCCTGTGGTGTCAAAATCAGGCAATTCTCCTTTAGCTTCAGTTGAGCTCAAACAGGCTTAAATTGAAGCTGAACTCTAACACACTCCATGGAACACTGATCACTTCAGAGATATGACAAGCCCATATGCTTTTTGGATATAATAGAGAAGTATCTTATGGTACTAAGCAAAGTTTGGAATGACAACATTTATGCTGAGATAGTAACTTGGGCACTTTGGTTTCTCTAACATAAATATATGATGGGAAATGCCCCCCTAACAGTGGTATATGGTAATGACTGGGTCATATCATTTGACTAATCAATGCACTAAACACAGATTAAATTCTCCCTCTTTCCATCTCTCTCCTTCTCCACAATTGCATATTGAAGAACTTAGATAAATATACAACTCTGTACCTTGGGTGTTCCTAAATTACAGTGGAGCTTGGAGGAATGGGAAGGGAAGTTCAACAAAGCAGATTTTGACACCTGTATAAAGCATAGTTATCATAAATCATGTCCATCATTTATTGCCTGAAGAGTTATTGCATTATTCAACAGCCCGAGGGATTGCACAGAAACTACATCAGTCATAAAATATAAAATACCTTCTCTCCCAGCTTACTAACTGGTTCTCCAAGTGGCATGTTAATAGAGCAGCCGTAGTTAAACGTAGGCAAGAAAAGCATTAGAACAATGAAAGAGTGGAAGTTAGATTCGTGGCTGGTGGTATGGGATAGTTATTCCACCCAGGGCCATAGCTTGGTGGATAATTAGCACTGGTTTATAAAGTTACCGTTACATATAATGTGAATTGCATCGGTGTCAGTTGTAGCTGCGTTGTGAAGATGAATCTTAGGGCCATTCAGCTTTGGACTCATCCAAAATCACGCCCTTGATTGCGAAACATGGTCTGACTATGTGTGTTTCTCAGAGGTAAACAGTATCACCGGTGTTTGCTGCTATACGTAGCGGGCATGAATATTTTTGTTAAACCTCCTGCTCCTGGAGTCTTGTGCTTGCATAGGAATCTGAGTTTTCCTTCAGGAGAAAGAAAACAGTTGGTTCCTAGTTTTCTGAGAAAGCCAGAGAGGAAACTGAGGTCTCATGTGCTGGTAGCCCGCGTTACTTCAAGAGCATGTATCAAAGCTGATGCACGCTTTTTAAATTCATGGTGGATACAACCATGATCCATTGCAACGGATGTGCATAGGTCCGTGCTAAACAGTATTCGTGTATTTTCATTAATACTGGGCTGTTGTAGCTGATTAATAAATAATCCATTTTATCAATCACAGTGAGGGTCTCATTTTCTAGTATTGCTCTGCACACATGCCACAGACTGAGAAAAGTTACCCTAAGTTGTGTTTTTGGGTAAGACAACAGAATAACGTAACAACTGTGCTGAAGCCCTTCAGGTGAGGTTCCTGAGCTCAGCTCTACGGGAAGCTAATCATTCTTAGATTTGTTGTAAGAAGTCGTGTCTTCTCCCCTAGCCAGAGGAAGCTCAGATGCCCAGGTCAGCTACACGCTTTTAGGTGGCAGACGTGGCGTGCATGGAGCCCGGAGACACCCTGCGCTGCAGCATGACACGCAGAGGGCACCAGCGCAAGCGCAGTTCGGTGAGCTCCAGCAACAGTCATTCATTTCACAGGGATTACGGACAAAATGCCAGGAAATGCCAATACGTTAAAACATACTTCAGTATCCAAGCTACTTACATACTGCGATATCCAAACGTACCGTGATATCTGAGCTAATAATGCTGAATATTAGTGTCCAGTGGAAGGGTGACTCAGAAAAAAACTCATCAGTGACGAACGGAGTGACTATTCTGTGGGGGTATAATGACAGCTGTGAGCATGGAAAGATCCACGTGCTCCTAATGTTAAAAAAGGCTCCAGAGGCTTATGGAGAAAGCCACAGGCTGTGAAACTGTAGAACTCTCATTTCTAGTCTTGGGCTTGCTGGCGGTTTTCCTTATAGACAAATTGTTTTGTTTTCAGCTTTCGTCTCTCTCCCTTATCTTTATGTGGTCTTGTCTATTTATACTGTAAGTTTTCCAATACCTGGAATTATTTCTTGGATGGTACCACAGAATCATTCCTGGACTTGATCAGATTACAACATTTATTTTATTATTCAATGGGTTTTGGTTCGTTGGTTGTTCACTTTTACTATATAACTTATCATCACCCTTAAGATTTGTCTACCTTATTTCCAGCTCAATTTTTGTGAATTATACATTATAATTCAGCTCTGAGCTCTGACTTGGATACAGCAGGATAACCAAGCATCTTTTTAAAATGCATTAAGGTTGAATTTGAAGGTCTGTTAAGCCATTATATTCAAATGAAGGCATTCTAAGGTAATAGCTCAATTAAAACCAAAATGAACGTTCCCAAAATATGTTTCCAATATCCAGTCCCGTGCAATAAATATTATGCAAGGTGACTGGCTTCTGTCCAAAACTAACATTTCTAATCTTCTGCTAGCCAAAATACACAATATAGAAGTATGCACAGGGCGTGCTCGAAGCTCACATTGGGGCAAAGCTCAAAGTTTTCCATTCAGCCTTATACAACTTGGAAAAAACAGGGGTACCTTTTAGCACGGTCTGCTGTACCCACTTGAACTGACCACAGATCTGCACAGCCTTCTGTCAAAAACAGAGCAAAGGCTGGAGGCTGCGGCGTGCGGTGAGTCAAAAAGAAGTTACCTGTTTTCTCCCTGGCCTTTGCAATGGGTTGGGATGCGTGATGGAAAGGCTCAGTATTTCATCATGGTTTCAAATAAAACCATGTCCTACTGGAGTCTAATTATTTTCTAACCTACTTTCCTGAATTAACTGGTTTGACGACAAACAAACTGAATCCTAAATTCTCTGTCACTGAAGATTGCATGGAACCATCAGCAGTCCTGGCAGAGCTGGTGGGAAAGTGACAGGACTGTTTTCAGCCAGACTTTTATCAGTATTATTATAATAATCATCATCATTATCATCTGTTATTTTTTCAAGGTGAAAAAGCCCTGCTTTTTCATAAAGCTAAGTTTGCATTGTATTTTTCTGGTTTTCAAGTCTTCTTTTTTAACTAAGTTGTTTTCATCACATATTTTGGATTTTTGGTTTCTACATGACTTCCAAAGAAAAAGTATTTCAAACAAAATTAATTTGCTGGTTGAAACTCTTGTGTCCAGAGGAATTTTTCATCACGTTTTGTTGGGGAAAAAACCCCAAAATGAACATGCTTTACTGAACACAACAGTTTTTAAGATAGACGTGTGTTTTCTCCCATAGATGTTGCTCACTGCATTCAGGAAAAGTAGCTGCTGGGATCGGGAGCACATTTTTCAGTGTGTAAGGTGTCGTAACTTTTCCATCTAAGCCAACAAAGGCACCAGAGTCTACAAACGCATCAACGTTCTGTGCGTCTCCATGACACAGGGGTTAATTTGGTCACCATGGTCTTGGACAGATTTTGGACAAATCAAAATTCAGCACAGAGATACAGGCTCTGTGTGTCATAATAGCAGGATGAAGAGAAATTTGTAGATGTTTTTTACCCTCCAGGTTGTCCATCTGCATGAATACAACTAGTACGAAGAAATTCTATAAATCAACAGGATATTACATCTTTATAGACAGACCAAGTTCTGTTCTCATTTACACTGCATAAGGTTGTAGGCTTGTGTTTGTACAAGATGAGGGAGAGAAGAAAATAATTCCAGTGGGATTATTCCAGACTTTAAAAGCAATTTTTTTATTAAGAAAAAGCTGTTAGCTAATGAATTAATCCCAGGACAAAGAGGGAAATTGGCAATTTCCAAAGAAGTTAAATAGTTTAGTTAAAGACAACAGGGGAACTTAGAGGGTTATCTTGACTAATGACTTCCTAAATCTTATAAAAATAACTGGGATTTTAGGTTGTAGCAGCTAACGAGTTAAGAATGCGCCTATTTTTCTAATGGGCATAGCCCACAGAGAGCAGGATCTGCTTTATTCAGTGCAAGCTATGGTAATGAAATGAAAAAAGTAAAACACAGAAGCTCAGCGGAAATGCACTTGTTGGACAGTTGTTGTAAAAAGTAATGGTTAAAGAAACAAAGAAGGCATTCATTTGGTGTCAGTTCAGACATTTGCAGAGTTGTCAGTTAGAAAACAAATATAGAAAATATTAATTTATCTGTTTCACCATCGCTACTGATTAATAGGGATGTTATTAACATATACAACAAGAAAAATAAGTTTACCAGTCGAATAAATACATTTTTTCTTTTTCTTTTTTTTCTTTATATGAACATGTATATTTTACAAAACCCCATAGCACTATGGGAAATAAAGATCCTTCTACAAAAAGAAGATGTAAGTCAGTGTTACAATAAAGCTTTAGAGTTTCAAAATGTATCTGGGCAAAGAGACAAAATCAGCTAGAAGGCACTACTGATTCACTGAGAAGGTCCAGCTTGTAACTGTTGTTGTCTTATCCTCCGATTCGTTCATAAATTATCTCTCTTCTCTTTTCCAAGGGATTGCACGTAATACTAATGTGGTCAGGAAGGCTGCAGTAGATTCAGGAGAAAAGAGGCTATGGCCACGCAGAGAGGAGAAGTTACTGATGGCCATAAAAGGCTGGCTGAAGCTGAGCTTGTAGGCTGAGGCTGGGATGGGTGATCTGAATGCGGTCTCTGATCCAGCCGGTTAGAAATCCAAATGGGAGGTTTGACTGTGATGTAGCCATTGGTAATCCTGATATAGGAAGGCAACGTGGTGGTGCTAAAATAAAACACAAGAGAAGGACGTTAAACAGGAGAACCCTTATTGCTACTCCGTGAGCTGTCATTCTATGTGGCAGTAACAACAACAATGACAATTATTATTGTTTGCACGCTTTGGACATGCAGGGAGAGCCCCAGGGGCTGATAAACCAGATGAGATTCAGCACGTCCCTCAGCTTCTGGCTGCTGGTAGAATACAGCCAAAGGAGGGATCACTCTTGATATAGCTAACTTACTGCACTCTTTTTTTCAAACATCCATTATTGGCCAGCATCAGAAACTGCCACAGGTGCGTCTTTGTGCTGACCCAGGATGACCTCATCCTCACGTTCTGAGGTACCTTCTTGCCATCACAGGTCTCAAGATTTGTCGCAGTGCAGAGACACATCTTACTCACCATGGACTGGATACCAAATCCAGGAGGAGCCACCAACCACATCCTTCCCCTATTTCGCAAGCCATAAAGGATTTCCCAGGATCCCCTTACACAGCTGATAAACTTGAGCACGAGAGACCAAGCAGCTTCATTTCTTTTCCTGGCTTTAAGCCATGTTGGGTCAAATCACAGTGCCAAAACCAGACTCGGTGTGAAGCTTCCCTGACTGTGGATCTGCCTCAATAGTGGTGTGATTGCTTATTGATTGTAGCTTGAGTTAGTACTTTGATTTGAATAGGCAGGTTGGAATTCATCAAGATTCCCATGACATTGAAGGTCAAAAAGGTCCATTTACAATTGATTTGGAAGTTTCAAGTTGTAATCTCCATTTCATAAAATGCTTCCATTGCATCCATTATTGGATGATCCATGATCCACCAATTGTCACAGAGCAGCACAACTGAGCATGCAGACCGTGCAAGGTGGATTCTGAATTTAAAACCGAGACATTCTGCTCTGGAGCAAGGAGAAAAAAGACAAGTTCCCCTGAAAACAAGATGTGACACTAATACCTGCAGATTCTCTGTGTTATTTTAAAAATCTTCCATAAAGGGGATTTGGAGATACTGAAAATGTCCATCAAATCGGGGTTTTTTTGGGGTAGAAAGCTATGCAGTCCTATAAATACTTAGCTATAGTATCTGAGATCTTGACCTTGGAAGAAAAAGCCTGTGTCTTGCATAATATCAGATAAAAGGAACAATACCTCGCTCCAGATTCATGCACAGAAATAAAATTAAGTAGCACTGAAGGCTTTCATCTTTGTGTCTAAGCAATAACAAGACAGCTTTCAGCTCAGATGCTTCACATGCGCCGAGTCAACCACAGACTGCGAGAAGATCAGAGTCCGCCCAGAAGAGGGCATTGGTTAACACGTGCGCAGGTCAACCTCAAATCCAACAATCACGACGTACTACACTTCACCTCGGGTTTTGGGATAATTCTTTTCATTTCTTCCCTCTTCCTTTATACTGTCACCACCTCTTCTGGGTGGGATAGTTGTTTTGCAGCTAGAAGTGATCTTAACTAACGTGCAATGAATTAGAGTAAAAAGCAGTCTAGAATTAAAGACATGGGAATTGCTTTGGTGGAGCAGATAATACATCCAACCAGTACTAGGTCTTTGACAGTGAGAAGCAGTGATTGTTCCAAAAAACCAAACCGCTGTAAATAGAAAATCCTGAAACCCAGCCTTTCCGGAGAAAGGTCTTGTCTAAATTCCCATGGTGAGTGGTTGGTTTAAGTCTTGACCTGACGATACAATACACACAGCTTTAGAGCTTCTGCTATGTTGCATCAAAACTTAATACGAAGAGTTGGTCTGGGATAAGCTAATGCCGCTGTTTCAAATTTGTCCAGCTTTTTTGAGCAGTTAATTTAGTGCTGGCAGGAATGATACCAGATTAGGCACTGTCTACCCAAACTCCGGTAATATACGTAACATCAACCCTGAATGGCCTTTCCTTCAGCAAATACAAAGCATCATTAGAGCATGCTTCTGACAAATTAGGTACCACACGCTCCGAGTAATTCAACAGAAATGTAGTCATGCTCCAACTTCTGATCCAGATCTCATTCCTTCTGCTTAGTGATGCTGTGTCGCACAGATCTGGCAATAATGACAGCGCATTCACAATTTCGGGGGTTTTACCCCGCACCAGTTTTCCCTAAGGTAAATATGGGTACATGCTTGTATTCATCTTTTGGTGACTATTTGTCAATTTAGCTGTCAAATTTTAAACTTCAAGGGGGGGATGTCTGGTTTTCAATTGTAATTTAAGAAAAACATTGCCCAAATGCCATTTAGCCTTGCAGTTTGGGTGTATCCTGTTCCTGACCCGTTCTACGGGCTTGGTCTGCCAGTGAGACTGAAATGTCCCTTGCACAAACTGTCTCTCTGCACCTCAGGGATGTATTGTGTGAGACATCCGATGGGGGGGACAGGCTGGCCGGGAAACCCATAAAAGAATCATAAGCCCATTCATCAGCCAACTACATCTAAGGGATTCCTAAAGCAGCCTTAAATCAACATTGTACATGTCTGTAAGATGTTCTATTTTCTATTCAACCACCAGAAGTAGTGTGGTTTTTTTTTTTTTTTTCCCCTCCCTTGAAAACAGTTTTGGGGTTTTTTTTTTTGCAGGGAAAAAAAAAAAATGCCTCTACAATTTACTCTAAAATCCCCGAGTTTCCTGTAAAAAGACCTAAGAGGTTTTGACCACTCTTTTCCTCAATTAATGAGGTAATTCTCTGTTTTCAAGAAATTAGATTTCTATAAAGGTTTCCTCGTTAAGATAAATACTGTAAGCTGAGGTAGTTTGTTTTGAAAAAAATCCTTGAGTGCTTTACAAGAGAACAGTGTGTTTCTGTTAATGTGTACAAAGCATGCTATAGCAAATGAATCACAGGGTATCCATACAAGACATTTTCTTAAATGCAACTCTGCTTCCAGCTGACTGCCAAGATGGGTTAGAGAGATTTAAAGAGAATCATCCCTTTTACCACAAGGCGAGAGAAACCTCTCCCAAAGGTGATCCACCTCATTCCAGTGCAGGTCTCTAGGGGGTACTTACTCTTGCTCGGGGTCCTTCTCTTCCTAAGGATTACAGAGTGGGTCTGGACAACTAAGATAGATCACAAGCTAATCTTAGAGGGGGGCCCTGGTGTCAGGAGATGACTTCTCCAAACTCCCTCTGAGCATGTGTGCATGTTCACATCGGATCTCACTGACCCTCAGACCTTCCCTAAGGATGAAGGCAGCAACAGTGTCCCCTGAACTCAGCTAGAAATTTTCCATTGTCCTCAGGGAGGTTTTGATCATTGCTCAAATGTACACAGAGAATAATAAAAATGAATCACAGATCTGAGGGATAATCATCTAAATTACTATTGCACCTTCTCCTGCCAGCCCAGGATATTCTGTATTTGATTCTTCTGCGTCTGATAAAAATGTCTTCAATAAAACATTCCACACGGTCTGTGGTGAACAGGCAACCACTGGCTCCACTGTTCATACCTCTATTTTTGGCTTCTGTGTATGGGATCATTTTAAAAATTTGGAATACTCCAGGTATCTTCTAGCCAAATGACCCGCGGTATCAAATTCATGAGCTTGTACTTTTGATCAGATAATAGGGCATTTTTTCAAATCAGCGCATTAGTCATACATTGTCTTACCATCATTAGAACGTGTAAAACTTTCCCAAAAAAGAGGGCCCCAGGCACAGGCTTTGTGAACAGACCTTAGTGAATCCAGTTAGATGATTCAAAGTCCTCTGCACTGGGGGCATGTTGAAGCACCTTGGTGATTTGGGGCATTTTAAAACTCAAAAATAAAACAAGCACACATGCAACCCTTTGGGGGAATTTCTGTTCTGGTTTAGCTGGCGAGGACTTTGCAAGGAGCTCACAAACTAATTTTTAGTGTGATTGGGTTCATCCATCTAAGCAGGGCTCATCTGACCACATGTGACACCACAGCAGGATCATGGAGGGTAGGACCAAGACATACTTCCTGGCCCATGTGTCCCAAAGACAGGAACAAGATCTTAACCCCTCCTGTCATTCATGTCTCATCCAATCCCCCCAAAAAAATACAATGATAGCAATTCCAGAGCCTCTGCAGACAACTATTCCAGCATTTCACCATTCCTGATGTTCAGAATTGCTGCCTGGTGTTTCACCAAATCTCCCCTGCTGCAGCACAAGCTCGTGACTTCTCCTGTCCCCACGGGCAGGTTTATTCCTTTCCTCTTCCCAGCAGCCTTTCACATGCTTTGAAAACTTAACCATGCTTCACCTCAGCCTTCTCTCTTTTAAACAAACCATTCCCTCTGCCTTTCTCTGCCAGTCCACAGGTGCTTTCCCTCCATCCTTTCCTCTGCTCTCCCCTGGCTCTGCCTGGCTGAACAGGGTCCTCCCTGCAGCGAGATGCACAAAAGTGGAAACAGTAGGTCCAGCCGAGGTATTGCCAGCCCGATGCTTTGTGCAGTGGGTACCACTGCTTCTTTATTTGCAAAGCAGAAGAATGTGCGTGAAAAACATGCCACCTCCAGGAAGATGGTCTTTTCACTACTTCTTGCTCGCAGAGTCCAAACCACCTTTATCGTCCCAGTAAGTGTTCTGAAGCCGACTGAGAACTGATGCTGCTCTGAGGGAGTGAGGACCAAATGGTGGTGATATTTCTGTGCATTTTTCATCTGCTGCCATGCCTTGGTCCCAACGTGGTTTCTGTTCAGGGCGGGGGAAATGACCCTTTTTAGCATAACTTACAAAGTGTTTGGGGATTTTTCTGGATCAAAGGAGCTATACAAACACATGACAACTATTTTTAATAAATGTAAACAAACGCAGACCCAGCCAGCCTTTCTTACAATAGCATCTGTTGAAGGAAACTTGTCAAGACACTGTGCCAGCGCAGACTGAACCCTGAAAAACTGCGTGTTTCAACCGAAAACCTAAAGAGCAAGTAAACCGAAAGAAAATTTTTGGATAAATACAATAATGGCTGTTTTGCATTTGTGATTTGATGTTAACCTTATGAAGGCTAGGGTGTTTTTAAG